TCACCCCCACCCCTCCGCCTCCCTCCTCGTTCCCCCTCCTCGCCCCCCCTCCTCGCCCTCCTCCTCCTCCTCCTTGCTCCTCGCTCCTAACTGCTCGCCCCTCCTCCTTCTCCTTCTCCTCCTCCTCATCCTGCTCCTCCGCCTCCTCCGCCTGCTCCCCCTCCTCCTCCCAGGACGAGGACGAGGGAGGAGGAGAGAGGAGCGACCGAGAAGGAGGACGAGGAGGAGGAGGGAGGGGGGCGGAGGGAGGGAGGACCATGGGGAGGAGGGCGCGTGCGCCCGAGGCAGCGAGACAGGGCGCCTGGCACCAACACGCGGCCCGATGCGACAGCCGTGCGCGGCGCCCGCGTCGGAAGTGCCCGCGGGACCCCAGACGCCCCCACACTTTGCACCATGATTTGCTGCCACTGCCCCGCAAACGTGGTCGAGATCGGACGCCTTGAACTGGCTGGCCTGGCGAGGCGAAGCACCGCCTGACCCCAAGGCCCCCTGTCCCACCGGGCTCGCTCTCGGCCGCTTGCCCCTGATACTCAAAGCGTCTAGCTGGCACGGATCCAATGTGGCGCCACGGTGCGGAAAGGGAGGGAGAGGAGGAAGCGAGGTGAGGTGAGGTGAGGTGAGATGAGATGAGATGAGATGATATGACATGAGGCGGCCACAAGCCACTTCAGCGGGGCTGACCAGCCCTGAATCACAGGCCTCAAAGTCGAGACCTCTTCAAAATCCTCGGCGTCCGCGTCGCGCTGGAGGAGGCTCGTGCCCAAAGGCCTGAGCGGCATGGAACCCATCATGCTCTGGACGGGAGAGAAGGAGCAAGAGGACCACTGCGAAGCCAAGACTCATCAACAACGTTGGGATACACCCTCCCTCCAAGCTCCCTCTTCACAGCAGGCCCCATACAAGGCTTCACTTTCGCTGAGGGAAATGCCCCGTTGGGAGACAACCGAGTGAAAATCTTGAAGCGTGCCAGAACACCATGCCCAGGACTTCAACGTCACGAATCAAACTGACTGTTGTGTCTTGACGACCCTGAACCGTGCCGGAACACCATTATTAGGACTTCAACACCATGAATCCAAGTAAGTGCTGCACCTTGACAATCCTGAATAGTTTGAAAGCACCGTTTCTGGAAGGTTAGCCATGAGAATATTTGTTTTGTCCAGCGCAATTGTTTGGGAGGAGAAGGAGGGACACGAGGGAGGGGACGATCGCGCAAGGCCAAGGCGTCCACGAATGCACACAGTGAACTGCAGGTCCATAAGGCTGCATCCCTGAGCCAACCCAATCGGACGCAAAGCTGACAGCCGCGGAAAGCGAGTGGGCAGCGTGATTGTCAAAATCGGCTGACACGCACATCCGCTGCTTCAAACCCTGGTCCGTGCCAGAAGTCAAAGAAGCACGGGGCCACAAGAAGGTCAAGGAGGAGAGGAGGAGGAGGAGGAGGAGGAGGGGGAGGAGGAGGAGGAGGAGGAGGAGGAGGAGGAGGAGGAGGAGGAGGAGAAAGGAAGAGCTGAGGAGGGAGGATGAGGGAGGAACTGAACTGCCCAGCAACCAAAACTCAAGCGTGGTCAAGGGAGTGTGCCCTTGCCACGGACCCCTGCAGGCAGAGGACCGCCGCACGAGCCGAGCTGCAGTTAGGCATGCCCGCGTCGAGAAGCGTCCCTCGGAGAAATACACCCTGCGAAATGCTTAAGAAATCATGGGTTAAGAAATATTCATGGTCTCAGAAATTGAATAAAAACCCAACATTTCCATTAAAATCTAAAGATTTACATTGAAACGTTAATAATAATCTAGACTCTGGCCGAAAATTTAGGTTTTCTTAAACATCGCCTAAGGTGTAGTGCAGCGTGCCACCTGAAAACATCCCCCCACGGCTGGAACAGCCAACGATATCACACAGCGGGCACGTGGTGAGGCAAGGAGGGAGAAACTTGAAACGCAAGCACCAATCCGCCAGGATGCGGCCGCGTGAGAATCACGGATGAAGAACCGCCCCCAGATCTTGCCGTGACGAAGGCGCGATGCCAGCGCTGAATGCTAGATGTTGTGGGACAGGAGCCAGACGAGGAGGAGGCGGAGGAGATAAGAAAGGAACCTAGATGCCACCCTTATGGTTGCCCAGCGGATGACGGGATCCGTCAAAGACGAGGTAGTGAGCAGAATGGGAGACACTAGAAGACGCCACGGGTGAACGCAGGAGGAGGATTAGCAAGGGAACAAGCACCAGGCGGCCAAGAGGAGGCGGCGGTCGCGGTGCCACATGGTGGTGGTGACGCGTATGGTGCGCAACACCCAGGCAAATCGCACGACAAACATTTCTGCGGGACGGGAAAATGACCACAGCCACTGCTTCTTGTTTGCGCCCGCCTTCCAGCCGCCGCCTTCCAGCCTGGCCGAAAAATGAAAGCTAAAACAAAGGAAAGAAAGGATTAATTGCAGAAAAGCAAGATTAAATAAAGCAGTGTTTTGTGGCCATATTCCCTGGTGCCAAGCTCAACGGGGAATAAATCCGTCTTCCCATCACAACCTCTGCTTTGTTTCTGGGGTGGGACAGGCGGCCGATGAAAGAAAGCGTGGCTGTGGTGGTTTTCAAGCCCGTATTTTCTGTGCACCAGGACGCTGCAGCGGCGCTTCGTGGGAGTCAAGTGTCGCGCGCTGGCCTGGGCTGGCCAGAAAAGAACCAGCACCTGGCCTTAGCCCAGAATGGGGAGTCCACGTGCGTGCTCGACTTTTCAAGAGGCGGGAGAAAAAAAAAATGGCTATCCCACCAAACACCCCCTCCTCCTCCTCACCTCCCTCCCCTCATCCTCATCTCCTCGTCCTCCTCCTCCTCCTCCTCCTCCTCCTCTGTTTCTTCCTCCTCCTCTGTTTCTTTCTTCTCCTCTGCCTCCTCCTCCTCCTCCTCCTCCTCCTCCTCCTCCTCCTCCTCCTCCTCCTCCTGCCTTTTGTTCGTCCGTTTTGGCTCCACCCCGATCTAACCCGAAGATCCCAATTTCGGTCTGGGGGTGGTACGGGTTCCATGTGTTTCCTGAGTGTTCCCCGCCCCCCCCCGACTGGAAATGGAGGGCAAACTGAAGCCTTCGGGTTGGGCTGGGGTGGATTGGAGGCCTGGAAAGTGGCACCAACACCAGACCAGGGGGTTGCCTCCACATGGGGAAGATGATCCTGGATTTCGGTGTTGGTGGTAACCGTTCGGCCACCTTGGAAGCCAGAATATCACCACCATCACTCTTCCCTCGGCAGAGGCACACCGCCGATCTTGGTGTTAGTGTCAACCCCTAGACCTGCGAAGAAAGGGAGGATGGTGAGGATCGGCGGCGAGCGAGGGGCGGAAATGAGAAGGAGAAGGCCTTCTCAGAAGGCGGCGGGACTTCTCAGAAGCCCTCGCGCCTTCGGAACAGTTTTGTTCTGTCTTCGGGGAAGGCTTAGGAAACTCCTCAGAAGGCCGGGGGACTTCCAAGCCTTCTGAGAAGGCCTTCTCCTTCTCACTTCCCCCCTCGCTCGCCGCCGATGCTGGAAAGGGAGGGAGGATGGTGAGGAAGCGGCCGAGCAGCTGGAGGGTCCGAGTCCGAGCTGCGAGACGCCTCCTCCTGCAGGCCACCGCTCGCGCGCGCTCCCGAGCGGCCGCGGAGGCCGCCCTCGGACGGGCCTCCGTGGCCTGCCAGAGGGGGAGAGGGCGAGGGGGAGGGGGAGGCGGAGGAGGAGGAGGCGGAGGAGGCGGCGGGAGAGGGCGAGGGGGGAGGGGGGAGGGGAGGGGGGAGGGGGGAGGGGGGGAAGGGGGAGGTTGGTGGGGCGGTATGGGGAGGGGAGGGGGGAGGGGGGATGGGGGAGGCGGAGAGAGGGCGAGGGGGATGGGGGGGAGTGATAAGAGGGGGAGGATGGGCAAGGAGCACTTCTGCCCCCCCCCCCAACACCCCCGCGCACCAGAGAGCTCCCGCACAGAGCACAGCGGCCGCGAGGAGGTGGCGCGGCATTGCCGGGCTGCCTGCGGGCGGCGCCCGCCCAGCTGGCAGCAGCAGCAGGACCAGGGCCGCGCCACGGGGAGCGGGGCCAGGGCGGGCACCAGGAGCGAGAGGCAGAGGAGATGAGATGGGAGACCAGTCTCGAAGCGAGTCTCTATCTGTAGCACCCCGCAGTTGCGGATGAGAGTGAGGGGTCAAGCGCGGGGTGGGTCGCGGGTGGGTCGCGGTTGGGTCGCGGGCCGTGTCGCAAGTGGGTCGCAGGTGGGTCGCGGGCGGGTCGCGGGTGGGTCGCGAGCCAGGTCCCGAGTGGGACAACGACGACAACAACACAACGGAACGCAACGCAACGCAACCCAACAACAATCCGCACCGCGGAACCCCACTTCAGCCACCCACCCAGGGACAGTGAATGACCGCTCGGCCCCCTCACTCGGACTGAGAACTTTGGGCCATAAACCTCGTGAGATTCTGTCAAGATAGTCACGCCTGGCTTTGGTGAACGGGGTGAGGCGGCACTGTGACGCAAGACCTTGAAGCTGAAACCAACTGTAGGGATTGAAGAGGGCAGGGAGGGAGGTGCGGGTCGGGTGCTGCTGTTGAGGTGGCTCTGGCCCGAAGTGGCCCCAGCCTTCCAGGGGAGGCGCAGATGGCTCCCGGAGCACCCGCCACGAGGCCCAGAGGGCCCGACGGCTCCAAAATGGAGCGAAATACAGGGGACAACTTGGGCCAGGGACACCTCCAACGACCGGGCCGTCGCCCCACCGCAACCACATGGCCACGGTAAAACTGACCCTGGCTGCTTGGCACCGCTCGCAAACAGCTGTGATCGGCCCCTTCCGGTGGCGACAGGGTGGGCGCCGTTCAACGCACGGTGTGGTAGCAGAAGGGCTGTCAGCACCGCCTCCAGATAGACTGGGGTACCCTACAGATGGGGGGGGGGGTCGGACTCCCAACAAAAACATGTGATACCCCGACTGCCAACAACGACAATCACGTAGACTTCGAGGCTCAACTGAGCTTCGACTAGGTCGAACTAAGCACAAGACAAATAGTTATCAATAGCATTGGAAATGCTGACAAGTACTGCCGTCGCTGCTAAAGTCTGGGTAAGGTTGTGAGTCCCGGCGAACTCGTGAACTAATATGTGTTCGCGACTCCTGGCGAAATACTGGATTTGCAAACAAGCCTGTCACCGTGCCCTGATGGTGCACCTCCCGCACGGCAGCACCTTCCACGCGTGCCAGCTCGAGGATGGTGCACGTCCTGCATGGCAGCTAATCCCTGGACCCTCATTCCATGCGCGCCCGCTCGAGGATGGTGCACTTCCTGCACGGCTGCTAAGTTCTAGACCCCTCATTCCATGCGCACCCTCTCAAGGATCGTGCCTTTCCCGCATTCCCAGGCGCTGCTCCCAAACGCTGCAGGGCCTCCCAAGCCATGGGCCCTCGTTAAAAAAGATGGATATGCGGTCCGAGCTTACAAGACGGCCCGTGCAGGCAACCAAGGACACCAAGATGGCACAAGATGCCTCGAAGACGGCCCAAGATGGCCCCAAGGCGGCCGAATATGGATCCAAGACGGCCCAAGATGCCTCCAAGAGGGCCCAGAATGGCCACAAGAGGACCTCCAACAGGGTCGGAAGAAGCCAAAATCATTGATTTCTGGTGGGCTTTTGAACGATGTTCGCATTATCGCCTTCTCAGGCTGCCGTCAGCTCAAGACGGCCCAAGAGGACTCCACGATGGCCCAAGAGGCATCTAAGACGGCCCAAAGACGGCCCAAGAGGGCCGTCCGTGGGACCCAAGACGGCAGTAGAAGGCCCTTCGACGGCCCAAGACAGCCCCACGGCGGCCCTCCAAACACTATACGGCCTATAGGGCCCTAAGGCGGCTCAAGAGCGCCCCAAGCCAGCGTAAGAGGGCCGCAAGGCGGTCCAAGAGGGCCTTGCGAACCCCCAGGGCTGCCTCACAGGAGGCCAGGACACCCAATCATTTTTTTCCACATCATCATCATCATCATCATCATCTTTCATCATCATCTTCATCATCATCATTCATCATCATCTTCATCATCATCATCATTCATCATCATCACCATCATCATCATCATCATCATCATCATCATCATCAGCAGCAGCAGCAGCAGCAGCATCAGCATCATCATCATCATCATCGTCATCATCATCATCATCATCATCATCATCATCATCATCATCATCATCGTCATCGTCATCATCATCATAATCATCATCAGCGTCATCATCATCATAATCGTTATCATCATCATCGTCATCATCATCAGCATCATCACCAGCATCATCGTCAGCACCATCATCATCATCATCATCATCATCATCATCATCATCATATCATCATCATCAGCATCATCATCAGCAGCATCATTATCAGCAGCATCAGCATCGTCATCATCATCATCAGCAGCATCATCATCACCACCACCACCACCACCACCATCATCATCATCATCATCAGCATCATCAGCATCATCATCATCGTCATCATCACCATCGTCATCATCATCACCATCATCATCGTCAGCATCAGCATCATCATCATCATTATCATCATCAGCATTATCATCGTCATCATCGTCATCATCATCATCATCAGCATCATCATATTCATAATAAGTATCAGCCTAAGCACAATCATAACAAGCACACTCATCAGATCATCACCATCATCATCAGCAACAACAGCATCATCACCATATGATCATCATCAGCACCATCATCACAATGATAATTAATGGCATCGTCATCGTCATCGTCATAGTCGTCGTCATCACTATCACCATCACCAACAGCAACATCGACATCATCATCATCGTCAGTACCCTCTAACACCCTCATAGTCCTCGTCACACTCCTCATCATACTCATCACTGATCTACCCGTCGGTGGTTGGGCGGCAGAATTGGACCGACGAGACAGAACTACGCTTCGGAGGTGCCTCCTGTATGCCGTCCAAGCCAGTATGCTCCTCCCAACAATTGCCTCGACCAAGGAATTGCGGCCGTACCTACAGGAATCGTAAAAGTTTACAGTCCTCCCTCTCCTCTTTGTCCTCCTCCTCCTCCTCCACCTCCTCTTTCTCCTCCTCCTCCTCCTCCTCCTCCTCCTCCTCCTCATGTCGTCAACGCCACCACCGTCATGATCATAATCTTCATCATCATCCTCATCATCATCAGCAGCAGCATCATCACCAACACCATCACCAGAATCGTCATCATCAGCATCATCATCAGCGGCATCATCATCAGCATCAGCATCAATATCATCATCAACATCATCATCATCATCATCATCATCATCATCATCATCAGCATCATCATCATCATCATAATCATCATCATCAGCATCATCGTCGTCATCATCATCAGAATCATCATCAGCATCATCGTCATCATCATCATCGTCATCGGCATCGTCATCGTCATCGTCACCAGCATCAGCATCAACATCAACATCAACAACATTAACATGAACATCCATCATCATCACCACTATCACCATCACAACCGGCTCATTCCTTTAACCCCTCCTAGCACTGCGAAGGTTAGGAGTACTGCCATCAAATGACAGATATGCTTGCGTAAATTGAATCGGAGGGGGTTGCTGGCGAAGTTCTGGACCTGACAGTGCAATACCTCCCGATCTGCGCACCTCTTTGAGCCTGACGGAGCTGGAAGGGCTCGTGCTGTTGATGGTGGGGATGCTAGTAACCTCGGTTCGGGGCTGCAGCTGATCAACCCGTCGTCCCGATGTGTCGTCAATTCCACCACATCCCTGTCTCTAACGGAGTTCATGTGCCACCAGCGCTCGGAAGCTCCGAGACCCGTGTCCTCATGAAGGCCCCACTACCACGGGCCTCGAGGCTCTGAGCAGACTGAGGCGGGGGGTCCCACGAAGGACGGGGGTATCGTTCCCACGTGGATGACCTTCGCAAGTCTGATAGTGTGCACTGGGCTCGTCGGCCGTGCTAATGTCTTGGCGCGCACCACCGGATGGCTCGCTTTGGGGATATCGTCCCCAAGCGAATGACGATAATTTAACGTGGCCAGGCTTACACTTGGACTCCGCGCACACTGCTGAATGTTGAATGCTGGATGCTCCTACTCATGCCCATCCTCCCCTTCCTACTCCTCCCCTTCCTCAACAATGCTCGTGCCCCTCCCCATCCTCCCCCTCTTCCCCCCTCCTCTCCTTCCTCCTCCTCATCCAACTTTCCCTTCCTCCCTCCCTCCCGACGACGACGACGACGACTGCGACAACGACGGGCCTCGAAATCCCACCAGCCCTCTGGGCGCAGGTGGCTTTGAGCGTTTTCTCTTCAATATTCCCCTCTTCGCCCTCGGGGAGGGATTTATCACTGTTCCTCATGAATATACACCCCTTCCCCCACCTGGCCCTCGGCCAACCACCATGCCGACTCCATGCAGGCCCGCCCCCCACCATCCCTGTCAAAAAACCATACAAACCGCACTCTGCCTCCACATTTGGAGCATGCACGGCCAACCCGATGCGCCCCCCCCCCTACCATCCCCATCCCTGTCAAAAACAATGCAAAATACACTTTGGGGCAAAACCTTGAGTCATATCCGTGTGGCCCGCGAACACTTTATAGCGGTTTTGACATGGACGGCGGAGGTGTCAGCAGATTCCCTGCTGTCCGCAGGGCTAGCATCCCAGACAAAAAACAACAACATGCACCTCGCGGATAAATCTGGATCATGCGCGGCCATCCCGCGATCACTGCCAAGTGGTTTTTGACAGGGACGGCGGGGGTGATGTCGCGTGGCTTGCTGTGCGCAGGCCCGCCGGACACAATGATGGGCATTGGTTTTCGACAAGGATGGCCGAGGCCAACATGTTTTCCGATGTGCGCTGTCACGTGCGCAGGCGCACCTGACGCACCCTGCACGTGCCCCTAACGTGGCGCACCTGGCGCGGCTGGAGTGTGCGGCGCACCTGGCGCACTCGGAGCACGTGGCGCATCTGGCGCACCAGGCGTGCCTGGCACGCTCGGGCCCCAGGGGTGCCTGGCGCGCGTGGCGCCCCTGGCACGCGTGGCGCACCTCGCCCAAGCGTCGCGCACCTGGGGTCGGCTTGGTTCCAAATAGCTGCCAGTCCAAAGACGACCGCTGAACATGCTCAGGCTCGGGTGTCACTTATGTGTTGGGAGGGCGGGCGGGAGTGAGCTAGACGGCTTGCGGGCGGGTGGGTAGCTTGACCTCTCCCCCCACCCACCTCCCCCTTGACCTGGACGGGGCGCCCCGCGACCCATTGGAGCGTCCAAGATGGCCCAAGATGGCCCAAGATGGCCCCAGGAAAGCCCCAGATGACCTCCAAGAAGGCTCCAGATCGATCACGATAGCTCAAGGTAGCCTCAAATATGATCCAAGAGGCTGCAAGACCGCCCCTAGACGGCTCCAAGTGGCCTCGGAGCACCCCCAAGAGAGCACCCAAAAGAGGCCAAAATCCATCCCAAGCCAAAAGAAGATCAATGTTGTTTGCTTTCTCGCCTTTTCGCTTCTGATGGCTTTCCGAGGCGTCAAGATGGATCCAAGATGGCCCAAGAGGGTCCAAAGTGAAGCTCGAGAGGGCCCCAAGACGGCCCCAAGAGCGCTCCAAGAGCGCTCTAAGAGGCAACTTGAGGGGCGCCGCTAGCTAAAGCTCCCACCTTCTTTGAGCGACCTCCTCGAAGATGGCCTCGAGAGGGCCCCCAGGGCTCCCAAGAGAGCCCCAAGAGAGCCCCAGGAGAGCCCCGGAAGAGCACCCTCAAGATAACTCGAGATAGCCTTAAGTCGGGCGTGTCCCCCTACAGGGGGATTTTGAGCGAAAACTTGAAAAATATTCAAAAAATACCCCAGGTTATTTTTACATTTTTGAATATTCCCCAACATGTCCAAACAATGATCAAGAAAAAATCCCCAGACTATTTTTACTATTCCAATTTTTGAATGTTCCCCCTGTAGAGGGACAGGCCCGACTTAAAGATGGCCTCCGGCGGCGGCGGCGGCGGCGACGACACCTGCGGCTCCACTGGCGGACGGGGCCCTGGCAGGCGCGCCGTACTTCTCCTCCAGCTCCTGCGCCGGCCGGGCCGCCGAGCCGTCGTCACTCGTCGTCGCCGCGAGGCGGAGGGAGCGAGGGGCGAGGGGCGAGGGGCGAGGGGCGAGGAGCGAGGAGGAGAGGGGAGAGGAGGAGGAGAGGAGGAGGAGGAGGACGACGAGGAGGACGACGAGGAGGAGGAGGAGAAGGAGGAGAAGCAGCACGAGGAGGAGGAGGAGGAGTACGAGGAGGAGGAGGAGGACGAGGAGGAGGAGAAGGAACGAAGAGTGAGGAGCGAGGAGGAGAGAGGAGAGCAGGGATGAGGACAAGAAAATGCTGACCCTTTTTGGAACTTGTCGGGGGGCGTCCCTGGAGGCCTCCAGAAGCCGTCGGGGACCTCCGGGGGCTTCTTCAGACCCGTGACCTCCGGAGACATCCAGATATCTTCGTAGATCTCCGTAGGGGCATGAGGACGAGAGGGAGAAGGAGAAGGATAAGGAGGAGGAGGAGGAGGAGGAGATAGAGGAGAAAGAGAAGAATAAGTAGAAGAATAATCAGAAAAGAAGAGAAGAGAGGAGACGAGATGAGATGAGGTGCAGTCATTGTGCTACCACTAGTGGGAAAATTGGTTCGTCTGGCCGCGGCGAAGCTCCCCATTAGGCTACGAAGCGTGAGAGGGATGTGCCGAAATCAGCGGATGCCCACTTGGACACGATCCGCGTCAGTGATGTCCCGAAGTTGGTGGAGGGCCACATGAGCATTTGCCCACTGGGGCCTTAGGTGGAGCACCCGATGGGAGCACGATCCGCGTGAGGGGTGTCCCGAAAGGGTCAGGGGGGCCGCATTCGAACTCTTCCGCCGGGTCTGTAGGTTGAGATCCCCAAGAGAGCACGATCCGCCCGAACTGGGCAAGGGAACCGCATGCGAACTGACCCACTGGGACCGTGGCCTATGGAGGCGCGATCTGCGTGAAGGCGGGTGCCGAAATGAGCGGGGGGACCGCATGCGAACTTGCCCACTGGGGCCGTGGGTGGAGTTCCCCAAGAGAGCACGATCCGCGTGAGAGGTGTGCCGAATTGGGCGGGGGGCCGCCCACTGGGACCGTAAGTGGAGCTCCCTGTGCGGCACGATACGCGTGAAGGGTGTACGAAAATTGGCGGGCCAGGAGAACCGCAGTCGAACTTGCCCACTGATGCCATAAGTGGAGCTCCCCAGGGAGGCACGATCCGCGTGAGGGGTGTGCCGAAGTGGGCGGGGGGACCGCATGCGAACCTGCCCACTGGGGCCTTGGGTGGAGATCCCTATGAGGCACGATACACGTGAGGGATGTGCCGAGATGGACGGAGGGACGCTGCGCGAGCTCCTTATGGGGCCACGAAACGTGAAAGGGGCTCCCACATGAGCAGGGGGGGACTCTATGCGAGCATGCCCACTGGGGCCTTCGGCGGAGCTGCCTGAGGGGACACGGACGAGGGGTGTGCCTAAGTGGGCACGCATATAGCAAAGGCAAGGAGAGGAGGAGGGGGTGAGGAGGACAGAGACAAGGACGGGAGGGGAATGAGGTGAGGTGGAGCGGGGCGCTGCGGATTCAAAAAGAGGACCAAACTCAATACGGGAGGGCTAGCAAAACTTCATCATTATGTAGCGCCCCGCAGTTGCGGATACGACGAGTGAGGGGGCGGGCGCGGGGGGTGGGTTGCGGGTGTGTCGCGGGTAGGGTCGCGGGTGGGTCGCGAGCCGCGGGGTGGGTCGCGGGTGGGTCGCAGGTGTGCCGCAGGCGGGTCGAGGACGGGTCGCGGGTGGGTCGCGGGTGGGTCGCGGGTGGGTCGCGGGTGGGTCGCGGGTGGTCGCGGGCGGATCGCGGGTGGGTCGCGGGTAGGGTCGCGGGCGGATGACTTGTGGTCGCGGGTTAGGGTCGCGAGTGGGACATCAACAACGACGACGACGGACGCGACGACGGACGGACGGACGACAACAACAACAACAACACAACAAAACATCAACAAACAAACAACACAACAACAACAACAACTGCAGCAGCAGCAGCAGCAGCAACAACAAACAACACAACACCAACAACAACAACATAACTACAACAAACAACAACAACAACAACAACAAAAACATTAACAACAACAACAACAACAACAACAACAACAACAACAACAACAACAACAACACCAACAACAACAACAACAACAACAACACCAATACCAACAACAACAACAACCACAACCACAACCACAACAACAACAACAACCACAACAACAACAACAACAACAGCAGCAGCAGCAGCAGCAGCAACAACAACAACAACAACAACGACAACAACCACAACAATCAGATTAAGACTGTTCGCCCTGATCTGCTCGAGTGTCCAATAACGCGTATTTCCCAAACCCTCGATACCCGCCCTCTTCGTCTTCGATCGAACCCCTTTTGGGGGGTATACCTTTCTTCCCTGCAGGCCGGGCCTCGGCAAGCGGCGGGGCGGCCGCGGACCGTCGGCCTGACCAGCGGCAGCGCTGATCGGCGGGGCGGCCGCGGACCGTCGACCCGACCCCAAAAGGGACGGACAGGGGACCGAACACGACGACGACGACGACGACGTCGACGACGACGGCGACGACGACGACGACGAGCGAAAGCGAGAGCAAGAGAGAACGACAGCAGAGCCACGAAGAACACGAAGTAGGCCACGAAGGGCGACAGCGGGGACACGAAGGGAATGCGTATGGGGCCACGAAGAGCGCGAACGAGCGTGGGCCACGAAGGGCAGATAATGCGGGGCCACAGAAGGCAACGATGGGGCCACTGAGGGTAGCCCCTGGGCCACGTAGGACAATGAGGGGGCCACAAACGGCGACAGCGGGGCCACGAAGGGCATGCACATGGGGCCACAACGGGCGCGAACGAGCAGGGGCCACGAACGGCATACGTATGTTGGGCCGCGGAGGGTAAGGACGGGGCCACTGTGGGCAGCAACGGGGACACGAAGGGCAGCGAGGGGGCCACGAAGGGCGACAGCGGGGCTGCGAAGGGCATGCATATGGGGCCACCACGGGCGCGAACCAGCGGGGGCCACGAAGGGCATACATATATGGGGCCACGAAACAAAGCGAGGGGGCCACGAAGGGCTGCAACGGGGCCACGAAGGGCAGCGAGGGGGCCACGAAACAAAGCGAGAGGGCCACGAAGGGCTGCAATGGGGCCACGGAGGGCAGCGAGGAGGGCCACGAAGGGCTGCAACGGGGCCACGAAACAAAGCGAGGGGACCACGAAGGGCTGCAACTGACAACGGGGCCTACGAAGGGCAAACGAGGAGGCCACGAGGGGCTGCAACGGGGCCACGAAACAAAGCGAGGGGGCCACGACGGGCTGCAACGGGGCCACGAAACAAAGCGAGGGGGCCACGAAGGGCTGCAACGGGGCCACGAAGGGCAGCGAGATCCCGATTCCTAGGTAATCTGTGAAGGAGTCCTAAGCGTGAGCGCGACTCCTGGGTGCCTGGGTGTCGGGAGCGCGGCGCTTAGCCAGCTTGTGTTATATTGCAAGAAATTCCAACGCAAGGGCGCTTATTCTTCGGTAAAATAAAATGCGAGGAAGTTCGTGGCGGGGAAGCGGGGGCCCTGGCTAATTGTGAGGAAGTACAGGCGGGAGCCGTTGTGTTTGTACCCCACCGACCGGGGCCCAGCCCCACCGCTATAATTAATTTTATGTTTTATTGTTTTTTTTGGTGTTTAACGGCCCCCCACCCCCCCCCCCCCCCCCCCCCCCCCCCCCCCGGCCCGTTATCGCAAGAGGAAGTCTTTTCCCTGTCAAAAATCAGAGGTGTCGAGGCCCAGGAGAGGCACTTTCAATTGAAAAAACAATGTGCACTGGGGGGGGGGGTCAACAATAATTATTCTTCAAGAATGAGAGTTCAACAACCACAACAACAACAACAACAACAACAACAACAACAACAACAACAACAACAACAACAACAACTACGACTACGGCTACGACAACGACAACGACAACGCTGATCATTTCGGTCTGTCCGCGTGCCATTCCACACGTAAATCCCAAACCCTCGAAACCCGCCCCCTTCGTCTCCGATCGTATCTCCTTGGGGGTATAAAAGTCTTACCTGCATCGCGTATGTCATGCAGCCCCTACGGCAGGGGAAGAGAGGACGGATGGAAGAAAGGGACAAGGGGGAGGGACAAGGATGGAGCACGAGAGAGAGAGAGAGAGAAAAAAAAAAAAAAAAAAAAAACAGGAGGGGGGCCAGGAGCAGCAGCACGTGGCAAAACAAGACGGGCAGATCGGGCGAGTAGACCCTAACAGGCGGGTCGGGAAGGCGGGCCCAGGCGGCCAGGTCGAGCAGGCGGGTTACTGAAGCGTGGGTCTTGCATGAATTGCGAGGAAATCTCGAGCGACAGCGCGATTCCCAAGTAAATCATGAGATAAGCCAAATCGAAAGCGTGATTCCGGAGTGTCGAGGACGCGGCGTCTGACCAAATTGCGAGGAGATCCCATGCGAAAGCGCGATATGTGCATACATCGCAAGGAAGTCCCGAGCGAGAGCGCGATTGGGGAATAAAGTATGAGGGAGTATCCAGCGGGAGCTGTTGCTGCTGTAACTCAAGGTCCAAGGGCCCAACCTGGTGACCATCAGCTTTCCCTTCTGAAATAACTGGCTGCAAGCCCCGGGAAGGGCAGTTCAATTGAAAAACACAATGTGCCCCAGAGGGGGTAAACAATAATTGTTCTTGGAATGAGAGCTCAACAACAACAACAACAACAACAACAACAACAACAACAACTACTACAACTACAACTACAACTACAACTAGAACTAGAACTAGAACTACAGCAGCAGCAGCAGCAACAGCAACAACAACAATAATGACAACGACGACGACAACAACAATAACAATAAGTTTAAGATTGTTCTTTTTCACCTACTCGAATGTCATTCAACGTGTATTTCCCAACAGCGGCAGCGCTGACCAGCAGCAGCCCGACCCCAAGAGGGACGGACAGGGGACCGACCACAACGACGACGACGCCGACGACGATGAGCGAAAGCGAGAGCGAGAGCGGGGCCACGGAGGGCAGTGATGGGGCCACGAAGGGCAGCAAGGGGGCCACGAAGGGCGACAGCGGGGCCACGAAGGGCATGCGTATGGGGCCACGACGGGCGCGAACGAGCGGGGGCCATGAAGGGCAGATAATGCGGGGCCACATATGGCAGCGACGAGGCCGCTGAGGGCAACAACGGGGCCACGTAGGGCAGAGAAGGGGCCACAAAGGGCGACAACGGGGCCACGAAGGGCATGCGCATGGGGCCACGACGGGCGCGAACGAGCGGGGGCCACGAAAGGACGTATACTGGGCCGCAGAGGGCAAGGACGGGGCCACTGAGGGCAGCAACGGGGCCACGAAGGGCAACGAGGGGGCCACGAAGGGCAGCGAGGGGGTCGCGAAGGGCTGCAACGGGACCACGAAGGGCAGCGAGGGGGCCACGAAGGGCAGCGAGGTGGCCACGAAGGGCTGCAACGGGGCCAGCGAGGGGGCCGCGAAGGGCTGCAACGGGGCCACGAGGGGCAGCGAGATTTCGATTCCTAAGTAAGCTGCGAGGCAGTCCTAGGCGTGAGCGCGACTCCTGGGCGCCTGAATGTCGGGAGCGCGGCGGTTGAGCAAATTGCTGTGAACTCCAACGCAAGAGCGCGATTCTTGAATAAATTGCAAGCAAGCCTCCAGCGAGAGCGCGACTCCAGAGCGCCGAGAGAGCGATTCCTGTACAAATTGTAAGGAACTCCCGAGCGAGAGCGCGATTCCTGAGTAAAATACGAGGAAGTCTCAGACGGCAGCGGGGGTTCTGGCAAAAGTGTGAGGACATCTCAAGCTGGAGCCGTTGTTGTTGTAACCCGGGGGCCAGGGGCGCAGTTTGACTTTCTCTGATGAGAAACAAAGTGCGAGCCCCGGGAGAAGCACTTCAATAGAAAAAACACAATGGCCACTGGAGGAGGGATTAACAATACTTATGCTTCAGTAGTGAGAGTTCAGCAGCCGAAGCAGCAGCAACAACTACAACCACCAACAACCAATAGGAAACAACCAATAACCAACAACCAACAACCAACCACCAACAACCAACGACAACAACAACAACCACAACGACAACGACGGCGACGACGACGACAACAACAACAACAACAACGACAACAACAACAACAACACTGACAACAACAACAACAACAACAACAACTACAACAACAACAACAACAACAACAACAACACAACAACAACAACAACAACAACAACAACAACAACAACCACAACAACACCAGTAACAGCAGCAACAACAACATCGGCGACGACAGCAACGATAATAACAACAACAACGGTAACAACAACAACAACTACAACAACAACAACAACAGCAACAACAACAACAACAGCAACAGCAACAGCAACAACCATAATAACAACAACGACAGCAGCAACAACAACGATTACAACAACAACAGCAACAACAACAATAACAACAACGACGACAATAACACCAACAATCAGATTAAGACTGCTCGCTCTTATCTGATCGCGTGTCATTCAATATGCATATCCCAAACCTTGGATACCCGCCCTCTTCGTCTTCGATCGTACCCCCTCTTTTGGGGGGTATATTCGCTCCCTGCCACGTGTGGTTGGTGAAGCCCCTGAAAACGAAGGGTAACAGATAACGGGGGAGAATGAGGACGAAGGGATCGGAGGAAGGGAGGGGAGGGGCAAGAAGGAGGGAGGACGATGATTTGCGCTGTGAGTGGCGATTCAGCTTGCGCCATGGCTTGCGCCAGCCACTCCAAGGGCGCCACCTTGCGCCAGAGGGCCACGAAGGGCGACAGCGGGGCTACGAAGGGCATGCGTATGGGGCCACGACGGGCGACTGCGAGCGGGGGCCACGAAGGGCATATAATGCGGGGCCGTAATGGGCAGCGACGGGGCCACTAAAGGCAGCAACGGGGCCACGAAGGGCAGCAAGCGAAGGCGACCGCGGAACCAGCACGGGCAGCGAGGGGCATCGAAGGCGGGCGAAGGGCAGCGAGCGACGACTGCAGTCCCTAACGGGCTGGTCGGGCGGGCAGGCCCAGACGGGCGGGTCGAGCAGGCGGGTCGTTGAAGCGTAACTTCTGCTTGAACCGCCAAGCAATATGTAGCGGGAGCGCGATTCCTGAGTGTCGAGGAACGGCATCTGAATGAACTGTGAGGAAGTATCCGGCGGGAGCCGCGATTCGGTGGTAAGTTGCGAGGAATTCCAAAAGAGAGCGCGATTCTTCAATAAATTGCAAAGAAATATCAAGCGGGAGCCGCGATCCGGTGGTAAATTGCAAGGAAGTCCCAAGCGAGAGCGCGATTCTTCAATAAATTGTAAGGAAATATCAGGCGGGAGCCGTTGTTGTTGTTGCTGTGGTTATAAACCGGGGGCCAACGATACAGTTTGACCCTCAAGACTTTCCCTGATAAAAAACCGGGTGCGAGCCCCGGAAAGGGCACTTGAATCGAAAAAAACAATGTGCACCGGACGAGGGGGATCAACAATAATTATGCCTCAGAAGTGAAAATTCAACAACAACAACAACAACAACAACAACAACAACAACAACAACAACAACAACAACAACAACAACAACAACAACGACAGTCCGCACCGCGGTGCCCCCCTTCGGCAACGCACCCAGGGGCAGCGAAGGACCGTTCGGCCCCCTCACTCCGATATACACACGTCGCTGGTCCGCGCGGATCGCCCGGACAGGCGCCGAAGAGCCCCCCTCCTTTCCCCGACGCGCAGAGCGCGCACGAAGGAGCTTCACAATGTGGGGAAGGAGGCGGGTCCCGCGCGGACCCAAGAAATCCTCACAGACCTCCGAAAAGCTGTTGCAGGTGACCGTTCTGTCTGTCTTCGAGGAAAGGGGATGGAAGCGGGACGGGGAGCAGGAGGAGGAGGGGGAGGAGGAGGAGGAGGAGGAGGAGGAGGAGGAGGAGGAGGAGGAGGAGGAGGAGAGGGGGAGAAGAGAGGGAGGATGGCAAGGTGCACTCGCGCCTCGTCGCGCCTCACCTGACATCCGATCCCTCCCTCCCATCCCTTCCCATGGCGCTAATTTGTCTTTATCCGCGGACGCGTGTCATAACCGACCTGCGAATCCTATAGAACGACAACTTCGTGTTATGCCCAAACGGAAAAAAAGGGAACTGCGTGCACAGGAGGAGGAGGAGGAGGCGGGGAAGCAGGAGGATGAGCGGGAGGAAGAGGATGAGGACGAACAGCAGCAGCGGGAACCAAAGCGGAAGGATCGGGAGGGAAAGGAGCACCAGGGGAAGGCGGAGGAGAGCATATGAGGGGGGCGACAGCGATGAAGAAAGGCCCGGACCCCGAGAAGTGGCCCGCGCTGGGGCGAGACGAACAGCAGCAGCGGGAACTGGAGTGGAAGGAGCGGGAGGAGCAGGAGGACCAGGGGAGGGCGGAGGAAAGGAAGTGACAGGGGGGAGCACGACGAGGCATTGCAAAAAGATTGCAAAAAAACAAAAAAAAAAAAAAAAAAAAAAACCTAGATTGCAACGAAGGATTGCAAAAAAAACATGTTTTTTTGCAATCCAGGGTTTTTTTGCAATCCTTCGACTCGGAGCCAGAGAAGTGGCCCGCGCTGGGGCGTAGGCCCCACTCCGAAGGACCGCAGCAGCGCGCCGATCCGAAGGCGAGGCCCACGCTGCCACGGGAGCACCGTCCTGAAGCACCGAAAGTCACTGGAGTATCGAAGGGTAACAAAAAATATCAGCCAGCGTCGACTCCAAGCAGACAGGAGGACAGGAGGAGGACGGGAGGAGGACGGGAGGAGGACGAGAGGAGGACGGGGGCAGGACGGGAGGAGGACGGGAGGAGCAAACTCGAGCAAGCGCAAGCAGGCAAGCGGAAGCAAGCAAGCGCAAGCGAGCAATGACAAGCAGGCAAGAGCCAGCGATCAAGTGCAAGCAAGCAAGGGCAAGCAAGAGCAAGCGAGCGGAGCAAGCACGCAAGAGCAAGCAAGCAAGAGCACGCAAGAGCAAGCAAGGGCAAGCGACTCATAGGAATCCATAGGAACCCATAGGACTCTGGAAATAGCTGGGGGGTGCCATTGGAAACAAGGGGGGGGCCATTGGCAAAAGGGGGGGAGAGGGGTGCCATTGGAAATAAGGGGGGGGACCTTGGAAAAAGGGGGAGGGGGGCTAAAGACCAATTACTCATGATGCGCTAGGACTCCTATAGGGCAAGCCTATTTGGAGAAAGACCATGTTTGAGAAATTTGGTATTCAAACAAGAAATTGGGGAGGGAGCGGGAGATCTTCCAGACAACTTCAGGGGAGGAGGGAGAGTGGTACTCATACTGTTGAATTGACGGGGAGGAGGAGGAGGAGGAGGAGGAGGAGGAGAAGGAGGAGGAGGAGGAGGAGAAGGAGGAGGAGGAGGAGGAAGAGGAGGGGGAGGGGGAGGAGGGGTGGAGGGGGAGGAGAAGGGAGGAGGAGGATGAGGGGAGGAGGGGGGAGGGGAGGGGGAGGGGGAGGAAGGGGGTGGAGGACGGCCTGCGTCGAGCCGTTCTTGCCACCAGGTTGCCCATCGGCGCACCCGCGGCCGTTCCGCCTGCAGCAGAACCGCCTCTGATGTATGGACCACCTCTCCTGCGCGCCGGTGCAGTCGAGGCACGCGAGGCCCTCTTGCGGAGGCCGCTGCACAGCTCCGAGGCCGGAGTGTGGGGCACGTGCCCACCACCGCGGGGAACCGATGCTCCAGGACCCCAGGAGGAGTTAGAGGAGGAGGAGGAGGAGGAGGAGGAGGAGGAGGACGAGGAGGACGAGGAGGAGGAGGAGGAATGGGAGGTGGAGGAGGGGGAGGCAGTGGACCTGGACATGCTTTGGGGGGTGGAGGGCCCTGGGCACGAGTCCATGCACGCTGCCCCCATAGGGGTCATGCGACATCGGCGCCTTGGGCGGCAGGTGCGTGCAAACTCCAGCCTCGGACTAGCGGAGACCCCTCCGACAGATGTGGCGGTGACGTCGGCGACGACGCCGTCGACGTCCTGTTCGCTTCGATGCTGTCGGCGATCCTGGAAGTCCTCGTCGCCGCGGCTGAGCGCGTCTCGGGAAACTGACCAGGAGGAGTCTGGAGGCCCCGTTAAGAGTGGATGTGGCTGTCGGCCGGCGGTGGGGCGAGGGGTGCCTCTCGTCGGAGAAGAGACAAGCGCGTTCCACCTCTCGCAGAGCCACGACTCGCAAGTGGCCTCCGCGGGGGATTCACGACCCGCTGCATCGAGGCAGCCCCGTGTGTTTCGGACGTTTGCGAGTAGGCACTTTGCAGGTAGTGGAACGCGCTCGGCGAGAGGAGGCACAGGGCTGGAGCAGATGGGATCGGAGCATCGCACAGCCTCGCCGATGCACTGGCGATGCGTCGGCGGCGTTGGAATGAAGACAATCGAGCTCCAGACCGCGCAGCATCGCCGATACGTCGGCTTTGCGGTGCGATATCCATCTCTTCCCGTATACCCAGGCCCCATTTGGGCAGCCCGGACCTTGTGCCGGCAGCACCAGTCCTTCTTCTCAGGGGACCATCCGTATGCCGCGTCCTCAAGCCCTTCGTCACAATCAAATGGAAGGGGACTAGTCGAGCTGGCGCAGCCACGGGTCTCGTGCTCGCAGCACCACGCTCTCTTCTCCTCGGTCCAACCCCTGAGGTTTTTCTCACCTGTGCAATCGTAGGAAATGTCCTCCTGCGAGTCGCCTGTAGTCGCGGAGACGGACTTGCAGACCTCCTTCTCGTAGCACGCCGCACAGACCGGGCAGTGGTCGACGACGTTGTGGTACGCCTGGGAACAGTTGTACTGTCCGCCGGGGAGCAGGTCAGCGTTCGTGCGGAAGTTGTATGCTACGCGCTCGGCGCACGTGGCGGTCTTCCCCTCGAACTCACACTCCGTCTCGCACGGCGCAGCTGATGCGTCACCGTTCTTGGGCGCGTCCTCCGCCGCTGTGGACGGCGCGTCCTTGGGCGCGTGCTGCAGCCCATCCTCCGCCGGCGCGAACGGCACGTCCACCCCGTCGACGCACCCCGTGATCTCCAGCGGGCAGTGCGAGCACGCCGGGCACCAGCGAAGCACCCGGCCACGAGCAGACAAACAGGCTTCTGGCTGCCCGGCAAAGTCGGTTTCCGCGGTATCCCGGATGCTGTCTATGCAAGAGGCGTTGCTGCCGTACATGCTACACACTAGGTCGCAGGCGGCGGGCATGGTGTGGGTAGTCGACACATACGACGTTGTCGTTGAAATATAGGTTGTGCTTGAGGTGGTTATCGTTGTGCCTGTTGTGGTGGTTCCCGTTGTGCCCGATATGGTCGACATAGTTTGAGTGGTGTATGTTGCGGAAACAGTTGTGACGGTCGTAGCCGTCGCGGTGGATCCTCAGGCCCCCTCACTGGTGGGCACCAGGGAGCATACCCCAAACCGCAACTTGATGCTGATCCCGCCGCTGCCGCTGCGGCTCGTACTGCTCCAGAGCATGCCGCAACACACCATATCGAAAGCCTTAGGGCGCAGGCGTTGGAGCTTTCTACACCTAACGGGTCGGGTGCGTGATGATCTGGGCTTGTGCTATCTGCTGTTAACAATACTTTGTGAAACGGCGCCGACAGCGTTGTCTCGGATCCCCCCCTCAAACCATCTGCACGGACCAAGCCACCGTGCCCTGTCCCCCAATGGCCCCTGTCACTGCCGACGGCTTCAATACAGATGTCCCAACCCACAGCGACTGAACATGTTAACACACCCATACATAATGCGAGAAAGCGTATAGAACGCAATCGGTACGAATACGACCATGGATAACCGAGCATAAGCGTGCACGTATATGTACACATGTATACGTACACACACTTGCATCTACATGTACATTTACATGTGCCTGCACATTTACATTTACATGTCCATATACATAGGTCTAAATATATACATATGCATGCACATATACACAGTCATGTACAAATACATATACATATGCATGTACACATACATACACATACACATATACGTATGCATAAACATGTACATATACGAAAGAGCGTGTTCTACCGCAGCTGGCGGAAAACCGGGGGGGGTCACTACCGGTTCGAACCCCTCCCCCCCCCCCCTCCAGAAAAACCGGGGGGGGTCACTACCGGTTCGAACCCCTCCCCCCCCCCCCCTGCTCATCATGAAAAGGGGGGGGGGTCACTACCGGTTCGAACCCCTCCACCCCCCCCCCCCCTCCCCTCCGGATCCGGAAAACTAGGGAGGGGAGGTCACTACCGGTTCCCCCTCCTTCCCCCCCCATCGAAAACCGAGTGGGGGTGCGGACAGTGGTGGGGACGGTGTTGGTGGGGACAGTGGTGAGGGGACAGCGGGACAGTGGTGGGGACAGTGGGACAGTGGTGGGGACGGTAGTGGTGGGGACAGTGGTGGGGACAATGGTGGGAACAGGGGGGGACAGTGGACAGTGGTGGTGACGGTGGTGGTGGGGACAGTGGTGTGGGGACAATGGGAATGAGGTGGAAACAGTGGGACAGTGGAGGGTACAATGGTGGTGGGGACAGTGGTGAAGGCGGTGGCGAGGACGGCGGTGGGACAATGGGACAGAGGTACAGTGGGGACAGTGGTGGGGACAGTGGGGACAGTGGTGGGAACAGTGGGACAGCTCAGTGGGACAGCGGAGGAGTCAGTGGGACAGTGGGGACAGTGGGGATAGTCGGGCAGTGGTTGGGGCCGTGGAGACAGTGGGGAGAGTGGAACCGTGGTGGGAACAGTTCTGGGGACAGCGGGGACAGTGCGACAGTGGTGGGGCCACTGGTGGGGACAGTAGGGGCGGTGGTGGAACCAGTGGGGACAGCGGTGGTGAGGACAGTGGTGCTGGGAACACCAGTGGGGGATGTGATGCGGACGGTGGTGGGGACCGGGAGTCGTTTGCTGGCGGTGAGTAGGGGGGGGGGGGGGGGGGGGGGGGGGGGGGGGGGGGGGTTCGAACGGTAGTGACCCCCCCGGTTTTTTCGGATCCGGTCGGGGGGGGGGGTGGGGTTCGAACCGGTAGTGACCCCCCCCGGTTTTCGAGGGGAGGGGGGGGGGGGGGGGGGGGGAGGGGTTAGGGGAGGGGGGGGTTTTGCGGGGGAAGGGGGGGGGGGGGGGGTGGAGGGGTTCCAGCAGGGGGGGGGGGGATTTTCGGAGGGGGGGGGGGCGACCCCCGGGTTCCGGAGGAAAAGGTTGGCAATTTTCCGCGGTAAAGCGGCGGTGGATCACGCTCTCTCACATATACATAAACGCATAAATGCACGTATACCTATACTATACCCATACATATACATAGACACCTGCATGTACATATACATATACATATGTTGTACACAAATTCATATACGTATACATATGCATACACATACACATATGAATATGCATGCACATATGCATGAGCACAGACAAATGCATATACATGTACAAACCCATGCACAAATGCATGCACTATTCATACACATATACGTATACATGCACATAGACGTAGACATAGGCATAGGTATAGACATGTTCATACACATACACATACACATACATATAAATATAAACAAAATGTACATACCTATACATTTGCATACGCATGTGCAGATGCATCTGCAGATACATATACATACACATACACCGAATCATTAAAATATATACACATACGTATATGTATATGTATATATGTGTGTCGTACACACACACGGAAGGCTTGAGAAAGACACATCCTGGAAACAAGCAACGAAGTATACACACCGGGTATACGTCAGGCTGGTAAAATATGATGCACATGCTTGCATGTGTGGACCCACAATGAGTCATTGCACTCTCGATGTGTGCCCTGCATGGCACATAAAATGGGATGCAATATGCGGTGCAATCGGTGTGGTGCAACCTGTGGTGCAGGAGTTCAGATGCCATCTGAGGCGCAAACTCTGTGGCGCACGGTATGGGATGCAATACCTGCGATGCGACCTACGGGTTGCGATGTACGTGTGCCGCCTATGTTGCGCAATACACCCATCAGTGCTGAAATCAAGAACTCCAACGCTCGTGCAAGCAATTCGACCGACCACCCGCCAAGTGTTTGCAACTGGGCGTCGGCAGCGAGGATGGCAATGACGTGCACGATGACGGAAGGGACGATGCCGACGACGACGGCAGATATGGCGATGAATGTTCCTGATGACGATAAGGCCTGTGGCAATAATGACGCTAGCGATGTTGATGATTGTGGTGCTGGTGAGGAAGATGGGGAACTGCACGCACGCAAAAATTTGATGAGGGCGACGACGTCGACGATGACGATGGCGGCGACCGCGTTGATGGTGACGACGCTGCGGATGATAATGATAATGGTAATGGTGACGTTGGCGACGGTGACAAACTTAATACTGATGGGGATATCGAAGAAGTGCGCGCGCAGAACTTCTGAATATCTGACACGGTTGTACTGAAAAACACATGGGCTGTCGCATGTGCTTAGGCACAGTTACGTTGAATGAGAAGCTTGGAAAACAAACGGTGGTGGAAGGATTGCGTCGTGCGCGCGCGGAGACGAGCGCGTGCGGCCAGAAGGTGTTATGCAAAAGAGCTGCTGGCGGCTGCACGATATTTCTTGAACGTTTGAAGGGGCCCCAGGACACACAAATACATACATACAAATAAAAATACTCCCCATAGTTTCCCATATTTTCTGGGCTTCTATCTTCCCCCCAACTCCACATATTTTCCCATATTTTCCTGGGACTCGACGATTAATTGTGTCTGTGCTTTTTCTCCTCCTGAACATTTTCGGCATGCGACTGGACGTGGCCCGCGAGTAGCTTCACGCCGATGGCGGTCTTATGATTTTAGCGACTGCGCGCGCGCAGAGACCTCGCAACTCTTCACAGCAGCAACCAAAGGTGCTTCGTAATATGCGTGGATAGCTATGTTTTGACATGGCTCGGGACAACGTATGCTGAATGGATTCAGACATGCGCGCGGCGGCGCGCGCATGGCCCCCGCAAAATATGACTGCACTTCTTGGATAGACGCATGTGCACCACATACTGTCAGCTGAAAGGGGTGAGGGGGCAATGCTGGGACTGGCTGGTAATTTGTGGGGCACTGTCGGGACTGGCTGGGATTTTGCACGGATCGCAGCTCTAAGCGCTGAACCGACGCAATCCCAAAACACTCGGCGAACTTTCTCACAGGTTCACCTTCCCCCGCTGTTGACAGGCCGTGACCTGGATGAAATAGAAGAGTAGCTTGTCGACCCTCGCAAACATCCGCCCCTGGAGCGGCTCTTCATGAGCGCGGAAAAGAAGAAGGAACGGCAGCAAACTGTTGGAAAACAGGGCTGGCACAGGCAGGGCCAGCCAGCTGGGAGAAAGTGAGAAACTGAAGAGGGAGGGCGCCACCACCACCAACCGCCAAGTCCGGGTCCAGGAACTCTATCCAAGCGATGAGCGTCGGCCCACCCTCGAACTCCGTGCGAGACGTCGTCTGAGAACGCCCCTTCAGCGCAAGAGTGACCCACCTACGCTCCACCTCCACACCCTCGCCCGTCATCAACAAGCGCGTGACCTGAGATCACAGGGAGCCAAATTGCACTCGGTGATATCGCCCTCGGTCAACAGGCCCACCGGGATCCACCCGCGGGGAACCCATCGCACCCTTCCGCGCGCTCTCTCCAAAGACCCGCCGGCGATGGCAAGATCTGGCGCGGCGCGCCGGTCCCTGGCACTGTCGTTCTCTTATTTAGGCATCGTGTCATACACTGAATTCGCATCCAGCGCGCACACTTCCCCCCCCCAGCGCACAGTCTCTCCTCAGCACAGTGGCGCGCGGGCCCGAGGCCCATCGGCACTCTGGGACATCGACATCCCGAAAGGTCATGTCTCGGCATAGGACCTGCAAGCACTCTGCCTCGGCAACAGCAGCCGAAAGAGCCTGCCTCTCGCCGGCCAGGGTCGAGGGAACCTTCCCACGCAGCTTGCTCCTTGGGACCGACGCCGTGACAGAGCTAGTCTGAAGGGCGGAGAGGTCCGTGGCGAGGACCATCCAAGCGCCGTGAGTGGGGTCGTCAGGCAATCCGCGATCATCGCCGGCACTCACATTGGCACCCACCCCCCCAGCGTCGGAGACGGAAACAAACGCTATCTGGCCCGGGTCGAGATGCCACACAGCGATACCCATCAAACCTGCTGCTCCGAGGTGCTTGACTAATTTGTCGGCACACGCGACGTCGTACATGGCGGCTTGCTCGAGGCGGCTCGCGAATAGATCTGCTGCGCCCCCTGCCCCTGGCCCGCGTTCCCGGCCAACCCAGTTGAACTCGTGGGCCAGGGGCCTCAGGGCTGCAAATACTCGCGGAGAAAGGGGGGCCCCCCTCTTGGACACCCTTCCCCCAGCGGGAGCGAGCGGCCGAACTCGTTCCAAGATGCGCCCCCATGGTCGACCGCGACCTCGCCCGATAGACGACGAGGTGACCCCCGGCAATGTCCACGCCTCCAGCGCAGCAGTCGCGGCGCTTTCCGCACCTGTACCTTGACTCGAGCAGCTCGCGCAGCGGCACTCTGGCACCGGCGCTCCCGATCACGAGCCGTCGACTGGGAGAACCACGGCAGTCGGGGCTCAGCCCCCGATCTCCAGGAAAGTCACCGCGGCGCGCCCGCGCGCCATAGGCTTATGTCGGGCGCGTCCCCCTACAGGGGTATGTTCGACGAAAAAATCAAGAAATACTCCAAAACTAGTCTGGGGCTATTTTTTTGAATTTTGTTTAACCTGTTTGGTGTATGTTTGTTGTATTTTTCATTCTTCGTCGCAAATCCCCCTGCGGGGGGACAGGCCCGACTGAACCATAGGCGCTCCAGCCCGCACACGTTCACCAGCAATTGAAACGAGGGGCCCTGGGCAGGTCGATCCCCTCAAAAAAAGCTCGACGAAGACTTCGCCCCGGGGAGCGCCGCGGCGGGTCGGCCCCGCCGCGAGAGTTTTGCCCGCGTCTGCGGCGCCTCCGGGGAGGCCCAAATCGGCCGCCACCCCGAAGAAACCATGACCGATAACGTTTGGAGTGCGGGCGCACGCGCGGCCAGGTTCCGCGAAGGCCCATTCCACCAGCCCCCACCTTCGAACCATGAGACACGAGATGACTCCCGCGGGGAATTGCCCCAAGATCGTCCTGGCCCGGGAAGGAGAGATGGCTCCCGCCGCTCCTGTCTGAGCCATCGCGCCACACCCCTTCTCATCAGACGCCGCGGACCACCTCCCGGCAGGAGTCAGCCTCTTGGCGGCGAAAGCCCCGCCGCCAAGAAGGCCGGCTCTCGTCGGATCTCCAAGCCGCTCGCCCTCGCAAGGGGCGGCCCTCAGACCTTCGGCGCTGGGGGGCACCCGGAACTCCCCGAGGGGCTCACCCTCGGCCTCTGCTCTGGGCGGAGAGCGCGATCTCCCCCATTCTCCCGCGCACGGCGGGGCCGCGCAGCGATGGCGGGCGGGGCTGCAGCCGGAGACGGAGGGCCAGGTGGAGGGGCTGTGGTTTGGTGATGACGAGACGACTGCAGGTCCGTTCGGGCGCCCGCTCGAGGCGGCGCGGGAGGGGGGGCAAAGTGGCGGCCGCGCAGGGGGATCGGACGTTCGTGGAGCGAGCGCGCGTTGACTCCCCGGCGGGCTGGGTGCGGCCGCGGGCGGAGGGCCCGCTCGCAGGACGCCGGCGGCGGCGCGACTCCGGGGGCGGTACCTGGACGACGCGACGCCGGAGTTGGCCGAGGCCGGCAGGTTGGCGGGAGCTGCCCAGGACAGGGGCACGGGGTGCGCAGACCGGAGTTTGACGAGGACTATAGTAGAGGAAAAAGAACTATGCACATGCACCGATTCTGGCCAGGCCCATCCTGAGCCCAGGATCGGTGCATACGCCCTCCTACCTTGGCCAGGAAGGCATATGCACCGATCCTGGGTCAAAGATGGGCCTTGCCAGGATCGGTGCATGTGCATAATTCTCTTCGCCCGATATAGGCGGTCGCGCGGACAGGGGAGCGGACGGTTCACGGGTGGCCCGGCCAGGGTGGCGACCCGATCCCGGCGCGCGCTCCGCCCGTCGCTTCGCGAGGGCGCTTCCGTCGGAGCTCCCGACGGGCAGCGGCGGCCTCTGCGCAGGCCGCCCCCGACGCGCTTCCGCGCGGGAGGGGGCGCAGGACCCCGGCGCGCCACCGCGCCGAGGGCGGCGCGCGGCGCGGGCCGCGGCGAGCGCGCCCCTCCCGAGCGAGGCAGGGGCCGAGGGCTTCGGCGCGCACCGGGCAGCGCGCGGACGGGCAGGGGCTCGCGCCGCGGAGCCGGAGCGCGATGACCAGGGGCGGGCTCGGGCACATCTCGGAGAGCGAGGCTCGGGCTCGGACCCCCGCGGGCCAGCCGGCGAACGTCGGGCGCGACGCGGCCTCGACCGCGACGCCCTGGCCTCGCGAGTCCCAACAGCTGCGCGGCACCGTGAAGCACCCGTCCTGGCACCCGCACCGGGTCGAGGGCCCTCCGGCCGGCGGACGGCGCCGAGCCCGTCGGCCCGCGGCTCCTGCGTGGGGTGGATTTGCCGGCGGGGAACGGGCGGGCTCAGCGCACGCGGCCGCTCGCGCCAGATGTCGTCGGGCTCGGCCGGCGCCCGCCCATCTGGCGGGCGCAGAATCCATTCTACAGTGCTGCGCGCGACATTCAACGAGAGAAGGGAAGTCCGGGGGCGCGGGCGGCAGGGGGTCGCGCCCTCGGGGGTTGGGCGGGCGACGGGCGAGTGGAACGGCTCCGTTTCGCGCGGGGCCATCCGGGCCCGGCGCCGTGCATGATGGCCCTGCGGGCGGAGCTGAACATGCGGATGGCGACGCGAACTCTCTCGGCCATTGCGCGATGGCCTTCTCCCCCCCGACGACGGCCCCCCTTCCTTCCGGCCGATGCGGAAGAACTGCTGGCGGGCAGGGGGGAGCAGCTGGAGCGCCTCCAGGGCCATCGCCAGCAAGCGCCGGGGACCGGAGAGGGAACCTGCAGGGTCTGACAGATCTTGCGTTAAGACCAAAGTCGCTATAGGTACATCATAAGATCTCATCATAAGAACGCACGCATGATGTAACATGCATGCTGCCCCCTCCCTCGAGGGAGGAGGGGAACGGCGGCCGGCTCCGGCGTCGGCGGCCAGGGACTGCCCCCCACGCGCAGCCGCCCGACCTCCAGCTACAGCCCCCCCCCCCCCCCGCTCCCCTGCCTCCCCTCCTTCCTCCTCCTCCCTCCTATCCTCCATCCTCCTCCTCCTTCCTCCTCCTCCCTCCTCCCTCCTCCTCCTCCTCCTCCTCCTCCTCCTCCTCCTCTTCCTCCTCTCCTCCTCCTCCTCCTCCTCCTCCTCCCTCCTCCTCCTCCTCCTCCTCCCCCCCCCCGCCCCCCGAGGAGCACCCCGGCGGGCGGCGCGGAGAGGCGCCGCGGGGCGCCCTCGATCGGGCAGACGGGGGGCCCCCCGCTCCGTTCCCACCCACCCCCGGGGCCCCGGGCGGGAGAAGACCCAGGCCCAGACCCCTCGGGTCATGAAAAAATCACGACGGGAAGTTTTCGCTATTTTCGGCCTCTGGAGGCACTCACCGGGCCTCGGGACCGTCAAAAAACGATTCAGGATGAAAAACTGGTCCTGGGGAATGGGTCAGGACCTCTGGGGGTCGCGTCATGAAAAAATCATGACGTCGGGGGTCCGGGGGGGGAGCGCCCGAGAGGAGAGGGGGGAGAAGTGGAAGGCAGCGGGAGAGGAGGGGGGCGGGAAGAAGCCGCCGCCCTGCCCCCGCCCCCGCGGCGGGAGCCCCCCACCGCCCCCGCCTCCGCGGAGAGGGGGGATCAGAGGAGGGCGCCAGCGCGCGATCCTGCTCGGAAGGCCCCCGGGCCCAGGACGCGGAGGGCAGCCTGGGCCTCGGCCGGGCTCGGGCCCATCCCGCTCGACAGACCTCCCCGCGGCCCGACTGGCCCGGCGGGCCAGCCACCGACGGGGTCAAGCCTCTGCTCCGTCTCGCTCTCTCTTCGAGGCTCTCGCCCCTGACCAGGAATCCTGGGCCCCGAATACGGGTCGACCCGGAGGGACTCGCCACGAGCTCCGCCCGGCGGGGGCCCCCCTCGCTGCGTGCCGACGGCGGAGACCCGGCGGGCCCTGGAAGCCAGCGGGAGCTCTTGCCACGGCGGGTTCTGCGCTAACTGGGCCCATGCGCACCTGACTACCTACCAGACCACCCCAACCCAACCCGAAGACCCGAATTTGACCCGAATTTCGGGTTGGGGGGGGTACGGATACCATGTGTTTTTTCAACGTTCCCCGACCCCCCCCACTGGAAATGGAAGGCAAATTGATGGCTTCGGGTTGGGTTGGGGTGCTTTGGTGGGCGGTGAACATCCAAAGCCCGCCGACGCGGATCGCGGCCCACACCGAAGCCCCCTCGCCGGGCACCACCAGCCCTGGCCCGGCCCACCCGCCCGCCCAGAGCCTCAGCTCCGGAGGACGCAAAAGACAAACGCCGCCACGGAAAAAAAAAAAAAAAAAAAAAAAAAAAAAAAAAAAAAAAAAAAAAAAAAAAAAAAAAAAAAAAAAAAAAAAAAAAAAAAAAAAAAAACTGCCCACGGGTAAGCACGCGAGCCCCTGGAAGCTTGGCCCAGGAGGCCTGACTGATTGCCCCGAGCAGTGACCTCCATGGCCGGGTGGAAGCCCATCGCGGTCGTCTGGCCACACTCCACGCGGGAGCCGCAGGTTTCCCCCGACGACGAACTCCGCGAAACCAGTCGGCGAGAAAGATCCGTTTTCGAGCTCCGCCATGACTCGATCGTTGACCCAGCCGCCGCGGCGCTCCACTCCCCCAATCTGCCGCGGCAAGTCCGCGTCGCACACCGGCCGCCCAAGCCCACGGGCGAACCGGGCGCCGAATTCCGAGCCGCCGTCGCTGATTTCGCAACGCGCAGCACCTGGGGGGCGGACCCGGGGCCGGAGAAACTCAGACCAAGCGCAGACGGACTGGGGGCGCCCCAGGCGGGTAACAACCCGAAGATTGGACCCGGATCCACTATACTGAGACGTCCACCGGCGCTTGGCCGGCCCTCAACGCTCTCGCAAAATTCCGAATGCCTGGGTGGCCCATGTTGACATGGAGCTCAGAGATCAGGCGCTCCAAGTCCTCGCTGGGGTCTGCGCGCGCAGGCGCGCCCGCGACATCTGGTCGAGGGCGAGTCTCCTGCTCGTCGCCGCTCTCGCCAGAGACCTCCCCGCCCCCGGGGCCCCCGTCGGCGGACCCCTCTTCTGGGACGGATCCCCCCCACGAAGTCGGCCCACCGGGGTCAAGCACCCCGAGGGCCCCCAGGCATGGTGCTCAGCGACGGTTCGAGCGACGGCCCGGCAGGAGAGGCCGGGGCACCTCGCAGCCTTGGGCGCCATTGAAACCTCCCCCCACCGACTCTTGCAGTCCAGAGCTGCGCGCGTCGACGCGCGCCCCACGCGCGCCGGGGAGAGTTAGCATATGCGAGACAGCGGAGGCACCCCAGGAGGAAACGCCCAAGGGGTGCTCGAAGGCGAAGTATCGGCCGCGGTCCGTCTGTTACTGGGCCACATCCATGGAGAGGATGAGATCGCGAACGCCAGCCGACATGATGCGCCCCCAGTCGGACGGACCCACTCGCTCGCGGCTCAACCGGTTGATCGCACAACACAAAAAAAACACTGCCTACACCACCTCCGGCTCCTCGAGCTGGATCTGTCGCCGCAGGTCCTCGACGCGATCACCTCGGGGCGCGGCCCAGCCCGGGCGAAGACCCCGGCGCGACTGGGGCCGCCAGAGGGACACCCATCTCCTGAACCGTGAACCACGGGGGCTATCCTCGGTGGAGGGAAGACCTCCACGAACGCCACCTTGGACCTGACCTCGGGCTTGGAACCCTCGGCAAGGCTCAGCAGCGGGGAGCTCGGGGCCGACTCTGAACCCACAGTTGCAGAGCAGCTCGGACCTAGGGGCCGCGCGAGACTTTGCTGTCGTCGTTGCACCGGTCTCCGCCCAGCCACGCGTGCCCCCCCAGGTCCCCCGAGAAGACCCGAGAGAGGAAGGGAGGAAGAAGTGGATGGAGACGATGCGGATGGCCCCAGTTTTGACACTGTCCCAGCTGGGCCAGAGATTGCACGGGCACGCTGTGCGAAGCAAGACGATGGGCCGAGGCTCAACCGATTGCCCCCCGTCGCCAGACGACATCAGATTTCGACCTTGGGCACCGGCTCGGCATCCAGCACCACCCACTCCATTGCTCACGCGGGTTGGATTTCAACGTTGGTCTGTAACTATGGAGGGGGTCATGCGAAAAACGTTGAAACACATGTTCTGCCTATCTGCGCACGCGCGGTCTGGCGAAGATGGGCGGCATCAACGCGGCGCAGAGGGGCGTCGTGGACTCGAGCGTTTGGCCTGGACGCACGCGCGCCGCACGCGACGACCCTGATAGCCGTTCTCTGCAGCCGTCACTTCTGCTCTACGGCGCTGAACGGGCACGCGAAACACCGCCCAGATGAGCGCTAGCTGGCGCCCGCCGCACCCTCATGCACCACCTCCCTTCCCCTCCCCATGCCCCCTCCCATTCACCTCATCCTCATCGTGCCCATCCGACTCCCCCCCCCGCAGCATGCCCCTCCTCCTCCTCCTCCTCGTCATTGCCCTGCCCCTGCTGCCACTGCGCGGCACTCCTGCTCGCCCTCCTCCGCCCGACGCGCCCTCCCCCCATCTGCGCCCTCGCCGCCCCCCCCCCCCCCCCCCCGCGGCCCGTGCGCAGTCCATCCGCCTCCTTCCTGCCAACCCCCCAACCATTTCCCTCGATCCCCGCGACCACACTGGCACCAGCGCTGCAATTCCTCCCGGGCCCGCCCCCCGCCCCCCCCCCCCCCCCCCCCCCCCCCCCCCCCCCCCCCACCCCCTTTTCGTCCCCCAGCCCCGTCCAGAGGCCCACGACCCACGAACAAGAAGACAGACACCACCGCACGGTCCGCCGAGCATTTGCAACCCCCTGGGCCCAAAGCCAGACCAAGGAGACGTGGCAAGACCTTGGCTGTGTGCTGGTGGCGTTCTGGTTGTGCACATTGCACCCTGCGGACATTGGACCTACGTGCACTCTGATGTGGTGTACCACGTCGGTCAGTTATTGTAGCATGTGCGTAGAGACAAGACAGCTCTTTCGTGCAACGGAAGCAATCCTGTATGCGGAACCCTCGCGTATGTGGCACACATACCGCATTCGTGTCGACTCCACTGGAACCCAGTATGTATGTGGAGCACCATGCGCGTGGAACCCAATGTGCCTGTAACGACATGTGTGTGGGGGGGTACCATGCGTGTGGAATCGCATGCGCGTGGAATCCCCCCCCCTATCCCCCATGTATGCAGAACCCCTATGTAAGCGAGGCACTAGGTGTGCGGAACCCCATGTGTGCGGATTCCCATGGGGTTCTACAGGCCAGGGCGCGTGGAATCTAGGCTCCTAAAGGCCACGGTATGTTGAACCACATGGCGAACACGGCACGACATCAGCGCACCAGGGTAACCGCTTGAAGCGCAGGTGAAAAACTCTCAGCCTAAGCACTGCTCACGAGAAACACTGTTGTTGAAGATGTGTATGTGCGCGCTGCGCACGTTCGGTTTTGAGACATATGTACCGGTAGGTCGTCACTGTAAAGTTTGTGGCCTCAAATCCACGCCCGAGGTTTTACGTACGCTGTCAATCGAATTCCGAGATCAAACCACGAAGTCCTGTCCAGGCTTGGGTCGCGAAGCGTTACGAATTGTGAAGCAGCCGCCATGGAGACATAGCTTCCCTTAGGATGCGCTGGCCTCTTCGTCGAGCTGGTGGTGGACGCGCGGTCGGCGGGCGCTTCGGACTCGTTTTCTGGCAGGAACAGCTCGAAGCTCATCTGGACAGTGACCGACGATGTGGTCATGGTAGCCGTGGTCCCCGCGCGGGTGGCCTTTCGAGTCGCTGCCGCCTCATCGGCGAGTCCCGCGCATGCCCTTCCAGCGTTGATACAGCACCAAGATATCTTCTGCTCCGTCCACAATTCCGACCAAACGAGGAAGTCGGCCTCGCAGTGTAGCCGGCTGGCCGCCCTCTCAGAGCCCGGGCGCCCGGGGACAACCAAGCAGACCCTCCAGGGGCAAGTCAGCCTAGCGAAAGTGCCAACCTGCGCACCTGCGTGTACCGCAGGGGGGGGGAGAGGAGAGAGAAAGAGAGGGAGAGAGAGAGGAGGAGGAGGAGGAGGAGGAGGAGGAGGAGGAGGAGGAGGAGGAGGAGGAGGAGGAGGGGAGGAGGAGGAGGAGGAGGAGGAGTGAGGAGGTGTGGAGGGAGGAGGAGGAGGAGGAGGAGGAGGGGAAGGAGAGAGGAGAGGAGGAGGAGGAGGAGGAGGAGGAGGAGAGGAGAAAGAGGAGGAGGAGGAGTAGGGAGGAGGAGGAGGAGGGGGAGGAGTAGGAGGAGGATGAGCCGTGCGGAGGCCGTGCGTGGAGCTCGCTGTGGGGCACGATCAGCGATCAGCGAGGCCGCATGCGAGCTCTCCAACTGGGGCCGTCGGTGGAGCTGTGGGGCACGATCAGCGTGAGGGCTGTGCTGGACGGACGGGGGGCGCGCACGAGAGCTCTCCAACCGAGGCCGTGCGCGGAGCTCGCTGTGGGGCACGATCAGCGATCCGCGAGGCTGCATGCGAGCTCTCCAGCCCGAGCCGGCGGTGGAGCTCCTGTGGGGCACGATTAGCGTGAGGGCCGTGCCGAATGGGCGGAGGGCGCGCATGAGAGCTCTCCCACACTGGAGCCATAGGCGGAGCGGCTGGCTCTCTTGAGGGGTGGGGGTGCGGCGAGCGCATACCCCCTAAGCCCACCCCTGCTGGGGCCGTAGGCGGAGCTCCCGAAGGCCACGATCCGCGTGAGGGGTGCGCCGAGCGAGGCGAGGTGAGCACACAGGCCAGCCTCCCCCTGGGGCCGCAGGTGGGGCTCCCTGTGGGGCACGATCCGCGTGAGGGGGGGGTCGAAGCCGGCTAGGTGATTATATACGCCCACTCCCGTTGGAGCCGCAGGTGGAGCTCCATGTGGGGCACAGTCCTCACGAGAGGTGTGCCGAATGGGGCAGGGCGAGTGCATAGGACCACCCCCGCTGGCGACTTAGGTTGAAATCAGCATGGGGCACGATCCGCACGAGGGTGTGCCGAATGTGGCGGGGCGAGCGCATTGGCCAACTCCCGCTGCCGACTTAGGTGGAAATCCCCTTGAAACACGATCCGCACGAGAGGGGTGCCAGATGGAGCAGGGTGATTGCATGGGCCAACCCCCGCTGATGCCGCTGGAGCTGCCTGTGGGGCACAATCCGCACGATGGGTGTGCCGCATGAGGCAGGGCGAATGCATAGGCTCACCCCCGCTGGAGTCGTAATTGGAATCCACTGTGGAGCGTGATCCACGTGAAGTAGATGCCGACATGGGCATGAGACTGGCAGCAACAGCAGCGGCTAGCAGCGGCAGTGCAGCAGCATCATGATGCAGCAGGCAGCGCAGCATCAGCAACAGGAAGTGGAGCAGTGAGTGGGGGATGATGAGGAGGAGGAGGAGGAAGAGGAGGAGGAGGAGGAGGAGGAGGAGGAGGAGGGGAGGAGGAGGAGGAGGAGGAGGAGGAGGAGAAGGAGAAGGAGGAGGACGAGGAAACGCACGCACGGCACATCGGATAGAAAACGAGGATCCAACAACACAGGGCAGGTCCACACCTGCTATTTCTGCTGGATGTTGCTGTCTTCCCCTCTGGAGGGTCAGTCTGATTGCTCAGGGGGGCCCCTGGCCCTTGGGTTGGCAAGCCGACTATGGGCCTCGCAGTCGAACGTCGTGCCAACCGTCATCGGGCCGATGTCCCCCGTCAGCGCGGCAGCGCTGGCCGTCGAGCCAGTCGTGCCAGTTGTGCTGGCAGTGCTGGCTATGCTCGCCGTCGTCGTCGTGCTAGCTGTGCTGGCCGTCGTCGCGCTGGCCACTGTCGTTGCGCTGGCTGTGGTGGCCGTCGCCTCCGCACTGCTCGCTGCTTCATCGCTAGACGAGACTGTCGTCCGAGTCGTGACTGCTGCGACTGTCGTTGGAGTCGT